GTGCGGGCCAGCTCACTGCGCGCTGCCTTCCTCCGCAGCAGCTGCAGCCGGATGTCGATGTCGAATTTCCTGCAGTGCTGGATGTGCTCGTGGCTGCCCAGAGCGTGTTTGCTGTGGGGTGACACACACAGGCTCACCCCACACCCCAAAATCCTGCCTGGGTGCCCCAAAATCCCGCCTGGGGTGACCCTAAAATCCCCAAATGCCATGGCCAGGCAGCCTCGGGTTCCCAAGGAACTTGGGTTGCCTGCAGGGCTGGGTGGACTTGTGGCCGTCCAAGATGAAAGGACAGCCCCACAGGCTGATCCCACACCCCAAAATCCTACCTGGGCTGCCCTAAAATCCCCAAATCCCACAGCCAAGCGCCTTTGGGATGGGCTCAGAGCGAGGCTGAACTTCCTGCAGGGCTGGATGAACTCCAAAGTGCAAAATATGCAGGGAGAGCTCATCCCACATCCCAAAATCCCGTCTGAGTGCCCCAAAATCCCACCTGGAGTGCCCCAAAATCCCACCTGGAGTGCCCTAAAATCCCGCCTGGAGTGCCCTAAATCCCTCCTGGAGTGCCCCATCCCGAAATCCCACACCCAGGCAGCCCTGGCAGGGGCTCAGGGTGCTGCACAGGGACCTTTGTGGCACCAGGAAAGGCGGAGAATGAGGAATTGTTTTCCCTCCTTCCCCTCCGGAGCCGGGCGTGGAGGAGCCCGGCCTGCCTGGACCTGCCCAGGGACCCGTGGGAAGGAAAGCGTGGATTAGAGGGATCCGTGGGGTTGGGGTGGGATTGGGGTGAGCCAGAGCATGGATCTGTGGGATTGGGGTGAATTAGAGCATGGATATGAGGGATCCGTGGGATTGGGGTGAACCAGGGAACGGATTTGAGGGATCCGTGGGATTGGGGTGAGCCAGAGCATGGATCTGTGGGATTGGGGTGGGATTGGGGTGAATTAGAGCATGGATCTGAGGGATCCATGGGATTGGGGTGAACCAGGGCACAGATTTGAGGGTTCCATGGGATTGGGGTGAACCAGGGCACAGATTTGAGGGATCCGTGGGATTGGGGTGAACCTTGGAGCTGGGAGTGGCAGGAAGAACCTTGGAGCTGGAAGTGATAGGGGGGACCTTGGAGCAGGGAGTGACAGGAGAACCTTGGAACTGGGAATTACAAGGAATTCTGCAACTGGGAATGACAAGGAAAACCCTGGAGCTGGGAGTGACAGGAAGAACCTTGGAGCTGGGAATGAGGGAGAATTCTGGATCTGGGAATGACAGGGAGAATTCAGGAGCTGGGAATGCCAGGGAGAATTCTGGATCTGGGAATGAGAGGGGGAATTCTGGATCTGGGAATGACAGGGGGAATTCAGGAGCTGGGAATGAGAGGGGGAATTCTGGATCTGGGAATGCCAGGGAGAATTCTGGAGCTGGGAATGCCAGGGAGAATTCTGGATCTGGGAATGAGAGGGGGAATTCTGGATTTGGGAATGACAGGGGGGAATTCAGGATCTGGGAATGACAGGGAGAATTCTGGATCTGGGAATGAGAGGGGGAATTCTGGATCTGGGAATGACAGGGAGAATCAGGATCTGGGAATGCCATCCTGATTCCCCCATCCAGACCCCTCCAGCCCGGCTTCCTTCGCTGGCTCGGGGCAGAAGGAGCCGCCTGAGCCTGGCTGAATCCCACGGGAATTCCATGGCAGCAGCTCAGGGAGCCGAGCAGAGCTCCAGGGCCTGCCCGGGAGGGTTCTGGCACTTCCAGCCTCGGCCAGGGGAAGAAAAGATCGGCCACAAAAGGAGCTTTGTGTCCCCAGAGGAGCTGGGAAATGTCCCCTGGGGGCTGCTCCCTGCTGCAAAAAGGGGGATCATTCCTTTGGGAATGCCAGCCCGCAGCTGCATGGATCCAGCCCCGGCAGCTCCGAGCCCCTCCAGGGCTGCTGGGCACACCTGGGCACACCTGGGCACAGCTGGGCACATCTGCACGGGGCAGTTTGGGTCCACAAGGGTCGGCACCCTTGGGAACAGCACCTTTGGGTGGCCCTGAAGCCCCTTTGGTGGCCCTGAATCCCCTTTTGATGGCCTTGAAAACCCTCTAGGTGGCCCTGAACCCCCTCAAGGTAGCCCTGAAGCTCCTCGGGGTGGCCCCAAACCCCCTCGAGGTGGCCCTGAATCACTTCTAGGCAGCCTTGAAGCCCCTTTGGTGACCCTGAACCCCCTCTAGGTAGCCCTAAATCCCCTTTTGGTGGCCTTGAATCCCCTTTAGGTAACCCTGAACTCCCTCGAAGTGTCCCTGACATCCCTTTGGTAGCCCTGCACCTCCTTTGGTAGCCCTGCACCCCCTCTAGGTAGCTCTGCACCCCCTTTAGGTAGCCCTGAACCCCCTTTGGTAGCCCTGAAGCCCCTCAGAATGGTCCTGAACCACCTCTAGGTAGCCCTGCACCCCTTTTGGTAGCCCTGCACCCCCTTTGGTAGCCCTGAAGCCCCTCGGGGTGCCGGGAGCAGCTCTGGGCTCCCTCTCCCGGTCCCAACCATTCCCAGCCGTCCCTTTAGATCCCAAACCCGCGGTTCCCCCGGAATTCCCGGGGCAGGGCCGGCTCCAGGGCAGCTCTCCAGCAGCAGGAGTTGGCTCCAGCCCCGGGAAAAGCCGGGAATGCCGTGCCTGCTGCTTGTCCCTCTGCCCAAAACCCCTGGAAAAAAAACCCCAATTCCTCCAGGAAAACCAGCGGGGCACGGAGGGATGGGATCCACTTTGCCCTTCCCGGGAATTCCTGAGCCCCCCACATCCCTCTCCTCATCCTTCTCCTGGGATTTATCCAAAGCTGGGAGAAGTTGGGCTCCTCTCCCTGACACGGATTTTGATGGAATTCTCCTCCAAAAAGCATTTTTGGCAGCTCCCAGCTTCCCAGCCTGTTTTCCAGCCGCACCAGGAGTGACATTCCCAAAACGCTGCTTTTGGCAGGAGCAGCTCCAGGGGCAGGAAAAGGAGCAGAGAAATTTCTGCTGTGCTCACCCAGCTCAGCCCTGGGTGTTCATCACACCCCGGGATGCCAGGAGGTGGATTTTCCCTAATTTTTTTTTTTTTTTTTCATCCTGGCTTTTTCCCTGTGTTTTTCCTGATTTTCCCCTGTTTTTCCCTGATTTTTTCTGGGTTTTCCCCTGTTTTTTTCCTGTTTTTTCCTTAATTTCTCCCCTGATTTTTCTGATCTTCCCCTCTTTTTTTCCTGAGTTTTTTTCTGACTTTTCCCCTGTTTTTCCCCTGTTTATTTTCCTGTTTTTTCCCTGTTTTTCCCATTTTCCCCTGGTTGTTTTCCCTGTTTTTTTCCCATGTTCTTTTCTCCTGATTTCCCCATTTATTTCCACGTTTTCCCCATTTCCCACTGATTTCTCCCCATTTTCCCTGCTTTTCCCC